AACTAACACGACTAACTATACAGAGTATTTCGCTATAACGTTATTAGCCATCTTGCTAATCTAAAGAGAACATAAGTGCATTAAATAATTAATAGGAAAACTGACCATACAAAATATATGTATTTACTAAACAGACACATCGATAGTATGATTTTTGTCGACATGAAGCTAGCTAGCTAGCTATTTCTTGTAACGTTAGCTTGCTAGCTTCGGAGGCCCAGTTGTCAAAAGTGACTGACACACCTCTTGACTGTCTTCTCCCTTGGGCGAATATCATCCACACTCACCTGTCATAAATACCGTTTGCACTTCGCTCAGTGACGTAGCTATTTAGACAATTCGCAAAATTATTGATAATTATCAACCTATAAACGCTAGCTAGCTAAAATAGATGCTACCAAAACAAAGCAAAATAGTGACGTTCCTCCTCTTTCAGAGAGGAAGAGGCGAAGCGAGAGGTTTTACTCTGAACAAAATCTGTCAAGAAAATAAGCCTACGAAGTGAGGAGTTTTTGTATAGAGGTCAGTGAGAGCGTGTCGAATTTGGTCAACACAAATGTAATTGCAAATTTTCTTCGTGAGGCTTATTTGATCGAATATAATTTAGTAATGGTTATGTTGTTAGGAATGCACTGATATAAGTGGACGCATGTGGCATTTTGCCAATTTAAGAAAACGCGTTTTCTTGTGTTGTGCCTATTGCCATAGAGATAGATAGAGGACTCATCATAGACATGGATATAACCCGTTTTAGCATGGACATTGCGATTGACGGTTTACACCACTTTAAAGTAGTAAACTGGGTGGGGATTCTTATGTGTTGAGAGCAAGCAGCCAATGAAGAAGAAGAAAATGGACTACTTTAAAATGGGCATTGCTTCACTGCCCATGCTGTCACAGACAAGAAGGCACAGATACAAAGATGAGTCCTGTATCTAGCTCTATGGCCTGTTGTTCACACTCATTGGCTAGAATGGTCCCACCTGATGTCACCTCCCGCCTGTCTCCATATATGTATTTCCATTGTTAGAGCGGTCAGTCGAATATCTTGTCAAAATAATAGACAATATTTGCCCATATATACTATATACAGCCATAGAGCTCGCCAGTTTGTAATGCTAAAAACCGTATATGAGTTACCTCTAGTTCGTTCAGAATGGGGAAAGAATAGGGATTTGGGATAAACGCCTAAAATAAGGTCTGAGGTTAACACATGCTTAGAAGATCTTATAAATGTTGTTCTATGAGATAATATTAATCAGTTAGCATTACCTTTATGAATTATGAAGACTTTGTGTTTTTTTAAATTACATAAACGCCTCAAAATTTACAAAAAGCGATGTTAGCTGATGAAGATTATCTCATAGAACAACATTTATAAAATCTCCCAAACCTGTGTTTACCACAGACCTTATTTTGGCCGTTTATCCAAAATCCCTACAAAACTATACAAATTATTTTAATCATAAAAAGGCATCATTAGTTTAAATTTGACTTAGGGAAATGCCACACTTGTAGAACACGGAGGCTAGCCACTGTCATGATGATGATAGAAATAAAATAAAAACTAATCTAAAAAGACAGTTAGCTTTTTGAACACTGCTCAATTCAGTCCATACCAATTTAGAGACTGTTTTCTGGAATGGATGTAATGGTAACATGTTGTAATGAACTCACAATGTTGGATGCCCATTATTCTAGAGAAGATGATAGAGGAATAAACTGCTGCACACTGTCCTGACTACAGGCAAGACAGAGTTCGAGTTCTGGCCCCATCATTAAGGTCTCTCTCTCAACCCAGTCCTCCATCTGTCCATCCATATGCTATATCGATCCAACCATCCATTAGGCCTGGCTCGCAGTCGGCATTCCAATTCATCCCAAAGGTGTTCGATGGAGTTGAGGTCAGGGCTCTATGCAGGCCAGTCAAGTTCTTCCACAACAATCTCGAAAAACCATTTCTGGACCTCGCTTTGTGCACGGGGGCATTGTAATGCTGAAACAGGAAAGGGCCTTCCCCAAACTGTTGCCACAAATTTGGATGCACAGAATCGTCTAGAATGTCATTGTATGCTGTAGCGTTAAGATTTCCCTGCAGTGGAACTAAGGTTCCTAGCCCGAACCATGAAAACAGCCTCAGACCATTATTCCTCCTCCACCAAACTTCACAGTTGGCAATATACATTTGTGCAGGTAGCGTTCTCCTGGCATCTGCCAAAACCAGATTCGTCCGTTGGACTGCCAGATGTTGAAGCGTGATTCATCACTCCAGAGAAGGCGTTTCCACTGCTCCAGAGTCCAATGGCGGCAAGCTTTACACCACTCCAGCCGATGCTTGGCACTGTGGTGATCTTCGGCTTGTGTGTGGCTGCTCGGCCATGGAAACCGACGAAGTTATTGTGCTGACGTTGCTTCCAGAGGCAGTTTGGAACTCGGTAGTGAGTGTTGCAACCGAGGACAGATGATTCTTACGCGCTACGCGCTTCAGAACTCGGCGGTCCCGTTCTGTGAGCTTGTGTGGCCTACTACTTCGCGGCTGAGCCATTGTTCCTCCTAGACGTTTCCCTTTCACAATACCAGCAGTTACAGTTGACCGGGGCAGCTCTAGCAGGGCAGAAATTTGACGAACTGACTTGTTGGAAAGGTGGCATCCTATGACAGTGCCACGTTGAAAGTCACTGAGCTCTTCAGTAAGGCCATTCTACTGCCAATGTTTGTCTAGGGAGATTGCATGGCTGTGTGCTCCATTTTATACACCTGTCAGCAACGGGTGTGGCTGAAATAACCGAATCCACTAATTTGAAGGGGTGCCACATACTTTTGTATATAGTGTATGTGTAAAAATGTAAACAGAAAAAAAGTGGCAAGTCACCAGTATACCTGGATTCTGTCTCCTTTTGATGACACACTTCCTCCACTCTGTGATATGGGGGAACGGGTTGCCGTACAGGGTGGGGCAACCCCTGCCCCCACGTGAACACACATGCCACACAAGTCAAGTGCCATGTCTTCAGAAACCCCTCTAATAAAAGATGAGTGGGATAACATCTCGACAAGCGGGTAATGTATGTAGCATGAATAGGCAAGGAATTTGGGAGGAGTCTTGGGGCAGGCCAATGCTTAGTCTTTGAAGCATTCAGCCTGCAGCTCTGACCACGTGACCAACTGTTGATGACAGAAGATAGGCCTGAGGATGAGGCTCTAGGCTTTCATAAATGCTAGCTGGCTATCATCTTCATGACAAGGAAAACGATAGAAGGCACTGTGTGCCGAAACATTTCTTTAACCATTAAATTGTTGGGAGCATACTGTATATAGTGTGCAACTTTCTTGTTTACATTTTTACAGAGGAAAACGTTATTGGCATCGAACACCAACTGTACTGGCCAGAGTACTAAAGAGTATCTTACACTGAGTATACCAAACATTAGGAACACCTTCATAATATTGAGTTGCACCCCTTTAGCCCTCAGAACAAACTCACTTCGTTGGGGCATGGACTCTACAAGGTGTCAAAAGCGTTCCACAGGGATGTTGGCCAATGTTGACACCAATGCTTCCCACAGTTGTGTCAAGTTGGCTGGATGATGGTAGCCTTGGTGCCAGTCTCTGTATTGTGTCACTCCTCTCAAAATAAGCTAATTTCTCTGACAGGGAACTAGGCTAGTATAACAGGAAACAAATGTTCTTGTCAGCTTGATGGAACATGGCAGGGACAAGGCCTACACCAGAGATAGATCTACAGAACACACCATTTAATTGGACAGCATATAAAATTGTTCTAAAAATCTCTGTGCATTGTGCAAATGCAAAATGACAGAAAAAACAGATATAAAATGCATACAGACAAAAACTAGAGACCGAAGAAAGGTAAAGATTAAAACTGAAGAACATAAAACCAAAAATATAGGTTCAATATTTAATTCAGGCCAATCAGACTATTAATAAAATCAGTTGTTGAATCATGTTGTTTTAGAAAGGTCTCTCCCCTTCACCCTCGGGCTCGTTTCAGCAGTTTCTAAGGAAAGACAAGAAAACATAATTGACGTTTGAAAAGTAGCAGGATGAGATTTTTCCTATTCAAATCATGAAACATAAGACAATCCTCTGACAAATGAACTAAAGGAAGGACATCTAAATGTAGGATATCCATTAATCCACATGACTCGACTATAGCTTTATAACACTTAGCCACCATGAAAGATATTTTCTGACTTGTACCTGTGCCTGTTTGGCAGCGCTTTCCCACATTGGAGAGCATATCCGTGGATTGTTCTGAGGAAATCGTTATTTGCGTTGCCAAGCAGTGCCCAGAAAATAATTGCATCCCATTGTTAGATGCTACCACCCCCCCTCCAAACCAAAACCAAACGTGGATTCCATGTTGTGTCTCGCTTAGCTTGCCCATATGGGTCTCACCCATTCCTAAAATGTATGCACGCATGACTAAATCACTTCTGCTAAATGACATGTATTATTATTATATTTTTTAGTACGCACCCCTGTCTGTTTCACACCTGTTTGTCTAGCTAATAGGCCTCGCAATTGGGCAACATGCTGCTGCAGACTATCTAACAATTGGATTTAATTATTTCCTTGGCACTGCAAACAACGATTTCCTATCAGAACCGTCCACAGGTAGGCAAATATCTCACGTCTCTCCAAAGATATGCCCTAAGACAGAATGTTACCATTAAAATAACTGTATATGACAGCGGGCCTGTAGGGCTAACTCACTACCATGAAATCTATAATGTCTATACAGCAACCACAGACATTTGCCCCTCTGTCTATAAAGGATTCAAAAAAAAGGCAACAATTCAATTGCCTCATCTACATCGTTCTGTACTGATATGAAAACCCATCACATCAGGGGGAATTTGCTTTCACCTGTCCAGGCTTTTTCAGATAAGTACTGATGAAGTAGAGAAAGCCCATTTAGCCCATTGAAATGCACACTGTGTGTTCTGCCCCCCAATGTTGTTGGGGGACCCCCATACCTTGGATACTGCTTTAACGTGGTGAGCTTTGATAGTAGCCGATTTCTCCTCAAAAGCTTTCGTCCTCGACTCTTCTGCGAGGCTATGCAGAAATAGCAGCACGTTCAGCTCAACCTAGGAAGAGGGATTTTCAAATTCAGACACTGAAACACATAGAAATGAGATAACTATCCTACTAGCTGTATTGTATGTTTACCTGTGCTTGAAAGCTATTCGTTTTAAAACAATGTTGTAACGTTTAGCGAAGCTAACTGGCATCTTAGCTAGCTACGAGAGCATTTTCAACAAACATACCATTGCATCTGCAGCTGTGCCTACACGAATGTGGGCTTTCTTCTTCATTAGAGACTTTAATGTAGCCTTGGATACCTTTTTCAACATATTGCCGAACTTGTAGCTAGCTAAATTAGCTAGTTATCCTCAACACGGCGACAGTTGTTTGTTTACGTTTTTCAATCTCCCGCGTTGCTCACTACCGGCGCATAATGTGACGTCAGTATTTTATATAACGTTCAATGTTTTGCTTTATAATTACATATTTATATTCATATTGGTTCTCTCAATTGAAAATATAAAATGTATATTTATTTAGTTTAGGTGAATGCCATCTAATGCTGCATTCATAGCCAAATGGGAGGGTGGTAATTACCAGTTATGAAGTCATAAATACCAGCTGGATGCATTCAAGTGCTAGTTGAGAAACGCCGATTGGATAATGGCCAACAAGCTGCGTCAACCATAAACTAAAAGTACATCTATCACGCTTGTAAAACAATTAGAATGTTCAAAAAACATATTAATAGATTGCAACAAGTCAATTTGATGGAAACACAACTCTGATGGGAAAATGCACATATTATTTTTCGCCTATTGGATGGAAACCTAGCTATAGACACCACAGGAGGTTGTTGGCACCTTAATTGGAGAGGACGAGCTCGTGGTAAAGGCCCGTTCAAGCCATTATTATGAGCCATCATGATTCATCAGCAGCCCTAAACATCTAAAGAATAAGCTACAGACCAGCCAAAACAAGATGTGTACTTAAACTCCCCCCTGCTACTCATCTGGAGGTCGAGCATATTAAGCAACTAGGCTGCCTAACTGTGGAAAAAAATAGTAGTATTAATTCAAATTGATCTGGTCCACATAATTATCACAGACTCAGCCCCCAGGTACCTATCAAACTATTTTTAATTTGTTACAGATGTCCAACAGCATAATACCGGAGCCAGAGACTTGAATATTCACTTTTTTAAATATAAGAGTCTATCTGGTAAGAACAAGTTTTCATACACCGGCACTGTTGAGTGGAACAAACTACCACAGCAACTCAAAGCCCTTCCAACCATAACCACTTTTTAAAAGATTGTCAAAAGATGTCTAATATGTGAACAGTATAACCTTTTTTTCCATCTGTATCTCTGTAATGTGTCTGTATCTATGTAATTGTATACAGTACCAGTCAAAAGTTTGGACACACCTACTCATTAAAGGGTTTTTATTTATTTTTTACTATTTTATACATTGTAGAATAATAGTGAAGACATCAAACTATGAAATAACACATAGGCCTCCTGTAGCTCAGTTGGTGGAGCATTGCACTTGCAACATCAGGGTTGCCTTTGCCTTGATGACAGCTTTGCACACTCTTGGCATTCTCTCAACCAGCTTCACGAGGAATGCTTTTCCAACAGTCTTGAAGGAGTTCCCACATATGCTGAGCACTTGTTGGCTGCTTTTCCTTCACTCTGCGGTCCAACTCATCCCAAACCTTCTCAATTGGGTTGAGGCTAGGTGATTGTGGAGGCCAGGTCATCTGATGCAGCACTCCATCACTCTCCTTGATCAAATAGCCCTTACACAGCCTGGAGGTGTGTTTTGGGTCATTGTCCTGTTGAAAAACAAATGATAGTCCCACTAAGCGCAAACCAGATGGGATGGTGTATTGCTGCAGAATGCTGTGGTAGCCATGCTGGTTAAGTGTGCCTTGAATTCTAAATAAATCACAGACAGTGTCACCAGCAAAGCACCCCCACACCATCACACCTCCTCCTCCATACTTCACGGTGGGAACCACACATGCGGAGATCATCCGTTCACCTACTCTGCGTCTCACGAAGACACGGTGGTTGGAACCAAAAAACTCAAATTTGGACTCATCAGACCAAAGGACAGATTTCCACCGGTCTAATATCCATTGCTTGTGTTATTTGGCCCAAGCAAGTCTCTTCTTATTATTGGTATCCTTTAGTAGTGGTTCCTTTGCAGCAATTCGATCATGAAGGCCTGATTCACGCAGTCTCCTCTGAACAGTTGATGTTGAGATGTGTCTGTTACTTGAACTCTGTGAAGCATTTATTTGGGCTGCAATCAGAGGTGCAGTTAATTCTAATGAACTTATCCTCTGCAGCAGAGGTAACTCTGGGTCTTCCTTTCCTGTGGCGGTCCTCATGAGAGCCAGTTTCATCATAGCGCTTGATGGTTTTTGCGACTGCACTTGAAGAAACTTTAAAACTTCTTGAAATGGACTGTCGTTTCTCTTTGCTTAATTGAGCTGTTCTTGCCATAAATGGACTTGATCTTTTATCAAATAGGGCTATCTTCTGTATACCACTCCTACCTTGTCACAACACAACTGATTGGCTCAAATGCATTAAGAAGGAAAGAAATTCCACAAATTAACTTTTAAGAAGGCACACCTGTTCATTGAAATGCATTCCAGGTGACTACCTCATGAAGCTGCTTGAGAGAATGCCAAGAGTGTGCAAAGCTTTAATCAAGGCAAAGGGTGGCTATTTGATCTCCAATATATTTCGATTTGTATAACACTGTTTTGGTTACTACATTATTCCATATTTACATTTACATTTTACAGACGCTCTTATCCAGAGCGACTTACAGTTAATGAGAGCATACATTTTTCATACTGGCCCCCCGTGGGAATCGAACCCACAACCCTGGTGTTGCAAGCGCCATGCTCTACCAACTGAGCTACAGGAGGCCTATGTGTTATTTCATAGTTTTGATGTCTTCACTATTATTCTACAATGTAGAAAATAGTAAAAATAAAGAAAAACCCTGGAATGAGTAGGTGTGTCCAAACTTTTGACTGGTACTGTATATATCATATTTCTAAGTGCCTAACGGATTTTGCTGTCTAAGGCAGTTACGAACTGTCACTGTTTGACCTCACACCTCTTGCATAAGACAACAACGCATGTTACATATGTAGTCTACTCCTATATGGTGAAGTATGGCCGACACCATGTGGCCAAGTCAGATGCCTTGTTTTAAGTATACTGAACAAAAATGTAAACGCGACATGCAACAATTTCAACGATTTTACTGAGTTACATTTCATATAAGGAAATCAGTCAATTGAAATACCTATTTTATACATTGTAGAATAATAGTAAAGACATCAAAACTATGAAATGACACATATGGAATCATGTACTAACCAAAAAAGTGTTAAACAAATCAAAATATATTTAATATTTGAGATTCTTCAAATAGTTACCCTTTGCCTTGATGACAGCTTTGCACACTCTTGGCATTCTCTCAACCAGCTTCATGAGGTAGTCACCTGGAATGCATTTCAATTAACAGGTGTGCCTTCTTAAAAATTAATTTATTCTTAATGCTTTTGAGCCAATCAGTTGTGTTGTGACAAGGTAGGGGGGGTATACAGAAGATAGCCCTAAAAGAGCAAGTCCATATTATGGCAAGAACAGCTCAAATAAGCAAAGAGAAACGACAGTCCATCATTACTTTAAGACATGAAGGGAAATGAATACAGAACATTTCAAGAACTATGAACGTTTCTTCAAGTGCAGTCGCAAAAACCATTAAGCGCTATGATGAAACTGGCTCTCATGAGGACCACCACAGGAATGGAAGACCCAGAGTTACCTCTGCTGCAGAGGATAAATTCATTAGAGTTACCAGCCTCAGAAATTGCAGGCCAAATAAATGCTTCACAGAGTTCAAGTAACAGACACATCTCAACATCAACTGTTCAGAGGGGACTGTGTGAATCAGGCCATTATGGTCGAATTGCTGCAATGAAACCACTACTAAAGGACACCAATAATAAGAAGAGACTTGCTTGGACCAAGAAACACGAGCAATGGACATTAGACCGGTGGAAATTTGTCCTTTGGTCTGGAGTTCAAATTGGAGATTTTGGTTCACCGCGTCTTCGTGAGACGCGTTGTGGGTGAATGGATGATCTCCGAATGTGTAGTTCCCACCGTAAAGCATGGAGGAGGAGGTGTTATGGTGTGGGGGTGCTTTGCTGGTGAAACTGTCTGTGATTTATTTAGAGTTCAAGGCACACTTAACCAGCATGGCTACCACAGCATTCTGCAGCGATACGCCATCCCATCTGGTTTGGGCTTAGTGGGACTATCATTTGTTTTTCAACAGGACAATGACTCAACACACCTCCAGGCTGTGTAAGGGCTATTTTACCAAGTAGGAGAGTGATGGAGTGCTGCATCAAATTACCTGGCCTCCACAATCCCCCGACCTCAACCCAATTGAGATAGTTTGGGATGAGTCGGACGGCAGAGTGAAGGAAATGCAGCCAACCAGTGCTCAGAATATTTGGGAACTCCTTCAAGACTGTTGGTAAAGCATTCCAGGTGAAGCTGGTTGAGAGAATGCCAAGAGTGTGCAAAGCTGTCATCAAGGCAAAGGGTGGCTATTTGAAGAATCTCAAATATAAAATATATTTTGATTTGTTTAACACTTTTTTGGTTACTACATGATTCCATATGTGTTATTTAATAGTTTTGATATCTTCAATATTATTCTACAATGTAGAAAATAGGTTTCCAAATAAAGAAAAAACCTTGAATGAGTAGGTGTGTCCAAACTTTTGAATGGTACTGTATATATAAAAAATGAATAGTTTCACCATATTAAAACTAGAGTTCAGTTGTTGTTTTTACCTTAAAGAGCCACTGAACACGGTGATTGGCACGTGTGTTTTTCTGTTGCTCATTAGATAAACAAGATTTCAGTCTTGGAGGTGTGTTTCCTGACCGATTCCGTGTTTGGTTAATGATGTTTTTCCCCCATGAGACACTGTAGACGTGGAAACCTATTTCACTTCCTCAAAATCACCTGAATGAATCTAAGTGTCACGCTCTGACTCATGGGACTCTTGTATGTTGAGTCAGGGTGTGGATATTCTATGTTAGTTTTTCTAGGTTTATATTCTAGGTTGTGTAGTTCTATGTTTGGCCGGGTGTGATTCCCAATCAGAGGCAGCTGTCGCTCGTTGTCTCTGATTGGGGATCATACTTAGGCAGCCTATTGGCATTCATGGGTTGTGGGATCTTGTTCCGTGAGTAGGCTTGTTTTGTGTTTAGCCT